CCTCCATGTACTTCGAGTAGTCCCTGAAGCTTTGTTGGGTCATCTGAAAGCCACCATTCAAGGTGCTTTCACTGCTTGCTCTCCTCTCCTCACCTCTCATGGCCCTGCATGTGCTTTTGTTTCTATCTCCAAAGTCCAGAAACAGCCAGCACAAAGCAATCACTATGGCAAAAGGCGTGGCATATAGGCCACTGGGGCACGCGAGTTGTTCTTATCTTCAGCACTAGCAAACTCGAGCCCTAAGGGACAACCCAAGTATATAGACATTTGGAGGTCAAACCTGCAAAGCACAAACACAAGGATTCTTGCATTTCTGCATCGCTGGACCTGGACTCAGCTCCCCCCTTTCTTTAGCACTTCTTGCTTCTTCCGCAACCAACCCCCCCCCACCCCCCACCCGACCGACCGATTCTTCCGATTCCGCCGCACGCCCGCCGCAGTCGGCCTTGCGGAAGCTGGGAGTGTCGCTGTCGACCTCGGAGCTGGACGGAATCCTTCGTATTTTCGACTCGGACGGAAGCGGTTCCATCGCCGCTCGGACGGTTGAGCGCGCGCGTCCTTCGGTGGCTCCCGGTGGACGGAGGCGGAGGCGGAGCGGAGGAGCTGAGTGGAGAGGATCGGGGATCGGTGGAGTGCGGTTTTGGGGGGGGTTCGAGACTTGAGGATCTTGAGGAGAGCGCTGAGGGTTCTGGAGTTCTGGGTCAGTGATGAGACTGAGAAGGAACTCGGACAGTGGGAGGTGGGAGGCTTGAATGAAACACTTGTGGTGGCCAATGTACTGGTGTAGATTCCATGCTTGGACGCACCTACCTGGCACGAGGCAAAGACCAGGTTTGTGACGGGCAGTGAAACCCCAGTGGTCGCTGCAAGAAGGTTTGTGGCAGTTTGTCCAGGGTGCATTGCTTCCTAAGGAGTCTGATGGCAAGCAGGATGCTTTCATCCTGCACTCTATTCCATGCCTGTTGCAGGTAGAGTCTCTCTCTCTCTCTCTCCCTCCCCCCCTCCCTCCCTGTAGTGAATCGCAAAGTCTTGGGATTCAGAAAAGGCAACCTGATATGCATATGGGATGAGATGACAGCTGGGCCTCACACAACGCCCCAAACTCCACAAGTTCACAGCTCCAAGATTCATGTGTCAGTAGAGTAGGTCGTATGTCAATTCGTATGTCAGTAGGGCAAAAAGAATGGTCCCAAATCCAAATCTCAGTATAAACTATAGGTCCCCAAATCCAAACATGATGGGTTGGTGGAGATGCCGGGAGTTGGCTCCATTTTCTTCCTCTTTTTTTAGGTCTTCACCCTGCCTCCAGCGGGGAGAGAACCTCCTCTCCCTCCTCGCCGAAAAACCTTCGCCGCCTCCGAGGATTTCACGGAGTTTTATCAACTGCCGCTTGGCTGTGAATGGGATGACAGTGGCTGAAGAGCTGAACAGCCGAAGAGCTTGGCAGGACCCAGTTGGTGCTTAGAGGAGCTCTGGAAAAAGCTTCCCAGAGCTATACGGAGCTTTGTACCCTCCACTTTTCTTCACTTTGTAGCTACACGAATTTCCTCCGCGCAGTCGATGCAATCCTTGCCATGGCCTGCCATGAGCCATGCCCGCTTGAAGCTAAGGATCAAATCACAGGAAGACTATCTACCGGAGAACTTCGTATTTTGGAAGCATCTCCGCAGGGCCTTGACAAATGTTTTCACGCTTCGCCGCTTCGTATATAGTATATTCTTCGGTATCTTTAGTCTTTAAGTGGCCTTGCCTTCGACTCGGACTATTCAGGGACCTTAGATCAGCACTACAAGTGGTACGTGACACCCTTGATTGACGGAACCTGGGGTGCGAATCTCCAAACTGAAGCTTCATGAACGATCCCCAAACGACATGCACATGTGGATGTTTTCGGACTTGCCCGAAAGTTTCCAGGGTGAACAAGTCGAGAGGGTTTTGAGTCTCGGTGAAGCTGTCTCCCGTGCGGAGAATGACTGCTTGGCGCGCCCCAGGGCCTCCCAGATGACAAGGACAAGAATGACTCGTGGCCCGGCACACCAGTGATTTCCGTCCGAGAGCGCGAGGTGTATCGATTTCATCCTTGTCATATCCAAAAAGATGGTAAACACCGTGGTACACCCTCTGAAGTGGAAGAATGTATTGGAAAGCATTGGACAAATCGTGGACACAATGGCTATACACGGCGCCACAGAGAGACCGGCCCACCACGTGGCGCGTGGTTTGTCTCAAAGCGGGTGCTTTGGAGGGTAAAGATATCCACAGAGGGGGACATGACACTTGTTTCAACAGGGCCACACTGTCGCAACAAGGGCGTATCTTCATCAATTGTTGTTGATTTGGGGATGCAGATGAACGTCTGCGGGGAGAATTGGTCACCGACAAAGCCTGGATTCACCCAAATTGGATCGGTGGATCCAGTCGAATGAGCGAAAGAAGAAAACAAAGAATGTATCGCAGATGGTCAGATGTCATCGACCTCCAGGAATCCAACTCCCCACGCAAAGACCATAGAACAGTTTCATTCTAAGAAAAAACAAACAACACACCGAACCTACAGCCTACCCCCCTAAGTAGGTTGGAATGCAACATGAATTGGCATCACACCTATACATGCAATTAGACATACACACACACATTGGTGAGTCAAGTTCCTCTCTTCGTAACCACCGAGTGATCACAAAGGCTGGACGCCTACAATCCGGGCGACCGCGTGAAGCTTCGGCTTTGTATCTCCAACAAGGCGCTGGAGTACGGTTGAGTCCTTTTGAGCCATGTCCACAACATTCAAATAACCTAATTGCAATGGCCTCCAACCTCATAGCGATCACCTCCAACCTAGCTAGGACCTAGCCAGACTCATCGGTCAGCCCTTCTGGCCATTTTTTTTGCTGACGGAGACGAAGCCAGGTCATGGTCATGATGGTCCCTGACGCTATTTCCATCTATTTCCGGTGACTCTCCAAAGGTGCTTAACATTTTTTCAACAACACCTCAAGAACATTGAAGCTTGTTTAATGAAGTCTTCAGTTGGATCTCTTTCCTGAGACTGCAAGCCTCCAATAAGTGCAGTTTCAGAAGCTATAAGTAAGCCAAGCTGAACAAGCTGACGATCCAGTCGGAACCCCTATCCCCTCGTCCTTGGGCTCGTTTTTCCGCGGCCGGGGCACCGGATGAACCCGGCCAGGCCTTGCAAGTGGATGAGCATGATGAGCCGCATACCCTGCATGGCACCATTGTGGGCCGTGGCCCACGGAAAGAGACGTACCTTCTAAAGCTTCTTGGCAGACAGAAGCAAGCTTTTGGTGTGCCACCTGATCTCATTTTGGATTTAATGGGCAACATGCATGCTCATGCACCCTTCTTGTCATTGTTCTCCACCAAGAAGCGAATCATTCTTTCATCAATTGAGCAGGTGTGAACAGTGTACCGCGTCTCTGTCTCTCCTGGAAGCGACGGGTCCAACTCCCGCCTCTGGCGTGCAGAACACACCACGCAGCCAGTCGGAGGTTCCCCTAGTCGGGATAGCTCGGTCGAACCCGAACCGGTTAGGTGAGGAAGGAGACACTGTGAGGAAGGATACGCACGGCGGGGTGTCATGTCTCAGTCTGAGACATCTCATGTTCAACTCATCGACCTGAGGTGAAAAGCTTGTTTTGTTTTGTTTTTTCTCCCCTAGGCTGGTGTTTAATGATGTTTTTTGTAGAGTTCACTTTGATGATTCCGTAATCACAGTCACACTTTCCAACAGCTCCAGACATATATAATGATCTCTTCTCCATGTTTGAGTCTTGTGGTTTCAATTAGCATCAACTATAGCTGCGTAAGGGTTCCAGAGGAAAAGGATCACGGTCGAAGACACGGAGGCACGTGAGGCGAACGAAGCAGGTCGATGCAGGTTGGTGTGGTGCATGACATATGTTGCTGAGGCTGGAGGATAACGAAGAAAAGCTGCTGGTGAAACCAAGGCGGACGGAGAGACGGAGAGACATGCGAGCCAGGAAGTGAGTTCATGGAAGTGCTGAAGTGGACCTGGCGGCAAATTCTTTTTATGCCCCTTTGAACCGCAGAGACAAAGAGCTTCTTTATAGTGACCTCTCATTCTCCTCCGAAACAGTGACGATGTCAGCCATGTTTTGTCAAAATGGACATGACCCGAAGCACTTTGACAGCTGAGAAGGGTCAAAAACCACAGTTGTCCTAAGCGGTATTTTGAGACCCCAGCTTTAGATAGATCATGTGTTGCATGCTGCATGTTCGGTGGGACTCAGGACTGCTGGGCCAGGTTTCTCTTGACATATCTCCTGTTGTAGTCCCTCTCCGATGTGCGTTTCCCGGCCTTTGGGAGAGACCGGTTTCGGTGTCCATTGGTGTCCCATGGAATTCGCCAAGTGATTCATCCAGTGGCGCCAGGCATATGTCCAAGACAAAGGCCTCCACCTCCACCTCCTCCAAGTCGCGATTGCCGCGGAACGGGACGGTGGAATTAGCGTAGAAAAAGACTCTTCTTTGACGCTCGGCCCCGGCGCCGGAGGGAATGAGTGGGTGTGGTGGGTGAAATAGACTGGGCTTGAGCTGAAAGTGTGGCCATGCAACATGTAGAGTTTCCCTACTAAGCCCTATATGATCCTATGATGGTAGAGTCTTGATTCGTAAAACCCCCCGGCTTTACAATCCAAATGGCGGGGTTTTTGTCCATCAAGAGTCTACAACCCCAGTCATCACACGAGCCACTGACACAGTCAGCATTGTATTTGAGTGACCAAATAGATCTGCATGAACGCTGAATAGAAATCTGAGTCTGAATCATTGCATATCACTACACTAAAGAAATATGAAATACCTCTAAATGTGCTTTCAGATTTAGGCCCGGCGGGATTTGTTTCAGGTGTTTAAGCAATTCCCACAATCTAATGTCAGGACAGTGACTGTCCGACAACGGCGTGGCATCTTGAACGTGAAGCAATCCATCTACCCTAGGGACCCAAGTACCTTCTCAGAAGGTACTTGGATCCCTCGGGCTAGATTTCAGCTAACCAAGGCAGGCTCACCCCAATTAGGAGGCCGCTGACCAAGCGGATTCTTGTTCGAGGCAAGTGAGGTACTTCTTCAACGGTCATTCTCACAGCACTGAGACTCTTGCACTGGGAAAGGCCGTCACACTCAGCTTCGGATCAAAGTTGCCTTTGTTCTTCAACCATAAGTGTTTGGTCCTGCCAAAAGGTTCACCACCATCGGCCGCGCTCAGGAGCACATGGTGCTCCACGTTGCGTCCTCCCAAGCACCGCTTTCCCCAGTCTGCAGCGCTTCGGGCCCTGCAGAGGGCGTGCGGCGGTGTGGCGAGGGCAAGGTTTGATATTTTTTGGAGGCCGGGGTCGATTGATGGATTTTGGATGGCTTTGTGGATGTAGAAGCATGTTTGTAACCCCCCTCAGAAATCTTATATGACAAATTTCTGGTGATGCACTTGCCAGCGTTATATACAGAACCATTCTCAATGCTGTGTAGCAAGCACGGTTCCCTGCTTAGCTCAAGCTTGGTACCTGATTAGCTCCTGTTCAATGGGCCAGGCAGCATCCACTCCTTGGATACCCATGGGGAGGGTCAAGTCTTCACTCGGATGGAGGCAAGAAGCCTCCTGAACATCCGCCAACGTCACACAGCG